ACCTACAGGGTAGGATGCCACGTGGAAGTACTTAGATTAATAGAAATGTGTTAATACTTAAGACAGATCTAGCCAATAAGAAACTAGTAACTGGCCAACAGAATTATATCTAATACAGCATCTCTGTACTTTCCCCCAGCAGGAGAAAAACCTACTCATTACACTCTGTCCCTTGCATACTTATTATGAACAATGTCTCTCAGACCAATGTATTGTACTATGTTGTTTTTTTTTTCTTGGCCTCCCTGAGCTATATTCATCCTCCTAACCTCCCTGATATTTTTTTCTACATAAATAATCAAAACTGAATTTTTGGCCTTGGGCTATCATCCCTAGAAAGTTCATCTCAAAATAGTAACCAAAGAGACAATTCAGAATTATCTTTTGTGGATAAATTGGGAAAACCAGGATTCTGGTTCTACCATATTGTATTTGTAGCTGAGACCATATAGACTGATAAGGAGATAGAGATGGAGCTATAGATAAATAGAGTCACACACAGAGAGAGAGAGAGAGTATATGATTGGCAGATGATAGATACTATAGACAGATTATTGTAGATGAAAAATAGACAGTAGATAAAGAGAAATAGAAAGTCAGAGAGAGAGAGCGAGAGACAGAAAGAGAGAGAAAGAGAGAGAGAGGTAGATGGTAGATGACAGCTAATACAGGATTGTTAAGTGGTAGACAGATACTAGATTAGATAGATACACACATATACACATACACACAAATATACACACATACATAGATGAGAGATAGGTAGAGTGATAGGTGAGAGATAATAGAAAACCTTATTTTTTACTAGCACCTACCTAATTGTTTTCAATATTAATAATGAACATGTGTGACTATATATATATATATATGTTTGTTTTTTTAAAACCATGGATTTATGTCCTTGTTGAAATAATGCAATGATTATCCTTGACATAGGTGATTAATAAACTCCTAAATTTGATGAGGGATATTATAAGGAAGAACATCTTAATTTTATCTGTGTGTGTCTGTGCAATCTCCCTTATTTTTTGTCCATTTCAGGGTCTGTTATTCCATATTTACTTGGGACCATAGAAACAAAATCATTTAGACATTATTTCTCAGTATTATAAGTGTAAACTTTTTTAATTTTCATTTAAAATCAATGGGTATTGAGTCATTGGCTTTATAGACTATCTTTTGCTCTGCCTGGCATTCAGGTAAGAGTACAGTCCATTGTCTGTGTCTTCTTCTATGGACAGACTATCTCTCATTTACTGGCAGAGGAGTTCATCTCAATATTCTAAGCCTGGCTTCAATGTTAGCACAGAAAGAAAATACAAAAGCATTTCTTAAGTTTTCTTCATCTTGCTGGGACTATAAGACACATACAGTCTGAATAGCAGTAATGGACTAAGTCAGAAGGAAAACAATCACAATATAAGAATAGCACTGAAAAAAGGAAAATGAAAAACAGTTACCCACCTATTCCCTCTTTCCTCTTCCAGAAGACAATATCAAAATAACTGTCTTGAGGTAACACTTCAGGGATATTGTCCCTAATGAGCTTGGAGGAGTCAAATACCCATGGGAGCCCATATGAGTCCATGAGTATATTAACCCTGTGAATCAGATGAAAAACCTATTTCTGAGAAGCCCAGGAGAGGGGCTTTCATTTCTATCTCTGCTCTGGTAAGTGCCAAAAGCCTTAATATCTCCACTATAGTTATGATTTTATCATCATTCAGAGGTGACACTCTTGCAATTTGTCCCTGGATTTTAATCAGACAGACACTTTAAATATGCAAAACTATTTTCACCTCACTCCAGGTAGCTTTGTGGGAACAGAAAGACTAGATTTGATATTGTCAGTTTGAAGATAAGTAAGTTTCCATTGTAGTCAATTCTAAACTGATCTGGAGCTTTGTCACTAAAATTCCCTTTCAAGATGCTTTGCATATTAGGTGCAGATCCTTGTTTATTTGTCGTCTATGTTAGTTTCTTCATGAAATTATGCTTCAGTGTATACTTACCTTTCAAATTTGCAAGTCAAGCTTCTCAGTAGAGACCCCTGAACTATTGCTCCAGCAGAGCCCTCCCTTCATTTATTTAGTCTTAATAGTATGGTCCAAGATTTCCTAAGTTCGCAGCAGAAATAAAAACCATTTGAGAAACAGTAACTTGCATAACAATACAATACAGAGGGGAAAAAATAGAGATTCCAAATATTTCTTCAGTAAGTCTCAACATAAAATTGCCCTTGTTCAACATCTCTTCCCCATCTCTAGTTGACAATGTATCAGGAATATTTATGATTATTGAGAGTGTAAAAACATCATTTTTGTTTTAGTACTGAAGGCCATTTTCCAGGTATGAAAATCCAAGCACAGTAAAAGTAAGAACTTCGGTTTCCCAACCAGTTCATTTCATGCTTTCTTTTTGAGGATCAGTTCTCCTACAAATAGGCATTGTCAGTAGAGAGTCATTGAATTCCATTCTTCCTCTGTTCTTCAACTCTACATTTTCCATCACACTATTTCTTATTTTTATCATCATCTTCATGACTGTTTTTATATTTTGGTTTGCCTTTAAGTTTTTTTTATATATTACATAAACATGGGGAAAGAGTAGGCGTTGTTAAGAGTCTCCCTTTGGACTCTGTACAATTATGTCCCTCCTTGTCAAGGACAATGAAGTTGCTCTTGAAAAATCCTCTTACGTGTGATAGCCACCACATCACCTCTTCTTGTGACAGTTACTTGTACCTTGGCAACCTGTAAACAAATATAAATAGATAATCATTAGTCAGAGAAAAGCCACAGTCTATGAGAGTCTTAAGTAGACAAAGCCATTGAACACTGACTGACTAGCTTTAAAGGAGATTTAAAGATTTTGGAATTTTATGACACAATTCAATTTATTTGAAAAAAAAAGGAAACTTTGGGGTACATATGAAAGTTTAAAAACAGACAGTTTTGACTTCATATAACAGTAATGTAAATGATGGTAAAACTAGTAAAGCCAAGAGCTAAGTATTTCTCACCAGCCTTTCATTGAAATAGTAGACGCTCATAAATCAGCATATGCTGAGGATAGCAAGGTTAGTGTAGTCTCTAATAACAGATACCACAGTGAGTTTCTTATTCACCCTAACATGTGCAGCTGATTCACATGTGTTTGCATTTGGATGATCAAGCCATAGTTATCATGGAACAGGCTAAACCAAAGTTATGGTGAACTTTTTGTTTCATTATAATTGACTTTGCTTGGATGTTTTGTCTTCTGTGCATATAATCTTTGTCTTCAAGAGTAATAAAAAATATTTTTTAAAAAAAAACTCCTTAAGGTTATTTTCTTTACCAAACATTTTTTTGGCTCATTTTAAACTTTTATCTTTCTTTCCCTCCTCCTCATTCATTTTTATTCTACTGTATATAACTTTAGAGCATTGCTTGCCTAATTGGAACTAATATGCTTAGTTTATACAATCCAAGATTGTATTTCACTAACAGCTATAAAATATGTATGGTCTTGCCAGGTGTGGGGGAACATAGACATAATTTAGTATCCAGTAAGCTAGCCTGGTCTCAATAGTGAGTTTCAAGTCATACATGGTTATGTAGTAATACCTTTCTAAAATGCTAAGTATATAAATAAAACAAAAACCAAACAACAAAATAGGTGTCTCAAGTCCTTGTGAAATAGTAATTTAGTATTTAATATTTTTCCCTATCCCCCTTTATGTTTAACAGTTATATAAATTTTAGTTCAAATTTTCATATTGGTTAGCCATCAATCTCATTATCATGAAAGGGCATGGACAACTAACTTATATGCCATTCAGAGCCTTCATTCAGTAGCTGATGGAAGCAGAACTAAACACTAGCCAAACTCCTTGAATCAGGTGCAGAAATGGAGGAATGATGAGCAAAGGGGTCAAGACCAGGCTGGAGAAACCTACAGAATCAGGTGACTTGAACAAGGGGAGCTCATGCACCCAAGTCTAATAGCTGGGAAACCAGCATAGGACTGATCCAGACCCCCTAAATGTGGGTGTTATTTAGGAGGACAGAGCAGGCTATGGATCAGAATTTATCCCTAGTATACTATAGATTTTTGGGAGTCCATCCCACATACAAGGATACTTTATCAGCCTAAACACACGGGGGGAGGGCCTAGCCCCTGCTCCAAATAATATGACAGACTTTGAAGACTCCCCATGAAAGGCCCCACCTTCCCTGGGGAAAACAAATGAGATTGCCTGTGGTTTGGTGGGGGTGGTAGGGGAGGTTTGGAGGGTGAGGGAACTGGGATTGACATGTAAAACAACCTTGTTTCATTTCTTCTTTTATATTAATTTATTTTTTATTTTTATTTTACTTATCTATCCCAGTTCCTTCTTCCTCCCTTCCTCCCTCCCTCCTTCTTTCCCTCTCTCTCATCTTCCCATTTCATTTCTTAATGTTGACTGTTTTTATACTGAAATATTTATTGTCCAGCTAAAAAATTGAAAATTCACTTCCACTTAGATTTTCTGAAGTCCTCTGTATGTATGTTGTGTTTCAATAATAATGCTTAGCCAAACAATGGAAGATGGAAGGTACAACTAACTATAATATAATACAACTTTTGTTGTATTAGTTAAATACAACAAAATATAACCAAACAATTAGCACATATCAATAGGGTTTTAAATGCCATGTAAAAAGAGGAGAATCAGTCTATATGACTTGTTATGAGAATTTATAGGCAAGTACCCAATTAATGAAGATGCCCAAGGAAAATTATGTGAGACTTTCTATTATGAAAATTTTTCTAACATTATGTCTGAAAACTGAATCAATATGTAAAATAATAATAATAATAATAATAATAATAATGATAATAATTTTAAAAAGAAAACAATCCTAAATAGACAATTCCTAATAAAACTCAGATTCAGCCTCTGTGCCTTTAACGCCGGACAACAATCATTGACTTATTTTATTTATTTGTTTATTTATTTATTTATTGCAGAAAATATGGTGGCTGAAAAATGTTTCAACAAATCCGACTCACCAGAGTTCGTGTTCCGTGTGTTCACCAATGTCCCTGAATTCCAGGCTCTCCTCTTCACACTCTTCCTCCTGCTGTATTTGATGGTCCTCTGTGGCAACACTGCCATCATCTGGGTAGTGTCCACACACAGCTCCCTACGCACACCCATGTATTTCTTCCTAGGCAGTCTGTCTCTCGTGGAAATCTGCTACATCACAGATGTAGTGCCCGTGATGCTTTCTAACATACTTGGATCCCAGAAGCCCATGTCATTGGCTGGTTGTGGGACTCAAATGTTTTTCTTTTCTGTGTTTGGCTGTACTGACTGTTTTCTCTTAGCAGTCATGGCTTACGACAGATATGTTGCTATCAGCCATCCGCTACACTATAGCCTCATCATGACCCAGAAGCTCTGTGTTAAGATGGTGCTGGGTTCCTTGGTCCTAGCTCTCCTTCTCTCCTTGCAGCTTGCTGCCTTCACCTTCACATTGCCATTCTGTGGACATCGCCTGGAAATCAATCACTTCCTTTGTGATGTGGCTCTCATCATGCGCCTGGCCTGTGCCGAAATCCATGTGCACCAGGCTGTTCTCTATGTAGTGAGCATCCTGGTGCTGACAGTCCCATTCCTGCTGATTTGCATCTCCTATGTATTCATCGTCAACCATCCTGCGCATGCACTCTGCAGAAGGCCGCCGGGCCTTTTCCACCTGTTCTTCCCATCTCACTGTGGTTTTGCTACAGTATGGCTGTTGTAGCCTGGTGTACCTGAGGCCCCACTCTATCTCCTCAGATGTTGAGGACCGCCATATTGCCCTTGTTTACACTTTTGGTACCCCGTTACTCAACCCTCTGATTTATACCCTTAGGAACAAAGATGTCAAAGTTGCGCTGAAGAACTCTGTTTTCCATAAAGCAGTGACTGACCTTAATTGATGGCTTTGATAGGGAGATGGTCAACAGAGTTATCTTTTAGTTAAGCCAACATATCGTAGACAAGAGTTTTCACTGGGACCACCATCTCCACAATAAACAACATGGAGACTTATTAATTATAAATGTTCAGCAGATAGCTTAGACTTGTTACTAACTAGCTCTTACAACTTAAATTAACCCATATTTATTAATTTACATGGTTCCAAATGGCTCAAGACTTGTTACCTCATTGTCTACACACCCTGCTTCCTCTGCTTCTGGCTGGTGACTGACTCTGCCCTTCTCAGTATTCTCTCATTCTGACTCTCCTATCTAACCTCTCTCTTCTTGCTTAGCTATTGGCCAGTTAGCTGTTCATTAAACACATCTTCACATTGTACAAAAGTATTATTTATTGCTGTGGAGCAATGAACTCTAAAGGACAAACAATATATTTCTTTTCATTTATATTTGTCTCTTTATTCATTTTTCCCTCTATGTGCACCATATCTGCATCTCTATTCATTTCCAAATTGCTATGAATATAATTATCTTTAAGTATAATTTTAAATATATCCTATAGAAATTGCTCCACCAGAGACAACTAATATCTTCTTGGTACAAGACTGATAGATTTGCACATGCTGCATACTGAGGACATGTCTTCATTAAGGAAAATTCATACAGATATTTTATTCTCTACGATGTACATTCCATTTTCTTAGACATCATGGCATTCAAAAGAATCATTTAGATAGCTCATCAATCATCTTAATATTTTCATTTCAATGAACTTCTTACATTTTCTTTCTGGTATTAAAACAAGTATTTCTTACTATTGACTTAGAATCTACTATATGGCATATATGATGGGGTAGTAACAACTAATTCTGGTTACTGACAACATTGCTGTACTCCTCGATTTCATATTAATTTTATTATTCTTTTAAAAAGAAAATATTTCTTTATTTGCAAATTATGTGAATGATTGTTTTGCTTCATGTGTGTACGTGTATTGCCCAAAGAAGCCAAAAGGGCACCCCACCCTGGAACTAGAGTTACAGACTGTTGTAAACAGCTATGTGGAAGCAGAGAACTAAACCCAGACTTTGCACTCTCTAACCAACAAGATATTTGTTTTAAGTGTACATGCTAAATAAGTATCTACAAAGTTAATTAAAATTTAAAAACAAATGCCTTTCTCTGTTCTTTGTTTTGTTTCATTTTATTTTACTTTTCCCTCCATTTATTTATTGTTTTTTCTTGGTAATATTATATTTTTATTTGTTCTTCTCTGACACAATACACCCTGACCTAAGTTTTCCCTCCCTCTATTCCTTCCAGTCTCTTCCTCCCCTCTGGTCAAGATCCACATTTCAACCATTTCCCTTCAGAAAAAAGAAGGCCTCATGGTGATATCAACCAAACACAGCATAACAAGGTATAATAAGACTAGGCACACATTCTCTCACATCAAGGTTGAATGAGGTAACCTGGTAGGAGAAAAGTTTTTTCAAGAGTAGGCACAAGGGTCAGAGACACCTTCATTTCCACTACTAATAGTACCACTGTTATGAGCAGTTTTTCTGTCAGCCAGGTCTCAGACCCTGTCATCCCCCAATATAACACACAGACATGCTGTATTAGATATAAAACTGTTGGCCTATTACTAGCATTTCTTATTGGCTAGCTCTGTTGTAAATATTAACCCATTTCTATTAATCTAAGTGTTTTTACATGGTCTTATCTTACAGGAGAGAGGGTCCGGATCTCTTCTATGAAGTCTCTACATCTTGACTTTCCCTACTATACCTCCCAAAATCTTCCTTGTCTCCTTGTCCCATCCATCTTGCTTTCCTATTTGGCCAACAGGGATTTATTCATTAACCAATAAGAGAAACATATTTACAGGATGACATTTCCTATCATCTCCTCTTTTCTGTCTGAATAAAAATAGGGGTTTTAACTTTACATAGTTAAATGTATAACAAAATAGTTATCAAATATGAACCACAGTTAAACATATTTAGTACATTATTAACATTTAGCAAGATTTAAAGAAACTATTTCATCATCTATCCTATTTTTGTCATTCTGAACTCTTATATGTAACTTGTCTTTAATCCTAACTAAAGAAAGCTATAACCTATCTGTCTTCAACTCCATCAAAGACCACAGAAGGATAGTATATAAACTCTAGAAATGACAGAGACAACTCGCTGCTGGGAGTTCTTTTGTAATATTCCATCTTCAGCCCATAGGCCATAGTGTGTCTGGCAGACTCTTCATCAAAGCAGGAAACTTTAAACTGTCCACTTGTCTTGGCAGTATGTCTGTCACTTTTCTCTGTGTCCTGAAGACTGTCCAGAAGACTCTTCCAATGAAGCAGGAACCCTGTAGCAATGTCCATCTTGTATCGGCAGTCACTTTCTTGGGGTCCTGCATGTCCAGTTTATACAGCATGAAGTCAAACAGTCCAGACAAGAGCAGTATCTTGCTCAAATGGCTACTCTTGCAATATTGGAAGTTTCTTCGATGTCCTTCTTTCTTCCTGACACAGGTGGTGTTGCCAGGAGCAGTTACGTATTGCTGTCAAGAAAACTTTAAACCATTTTAAATGCCATATTTTCACAGTGTACAGTATACAGAAGTATTATTCCACGGCAGCCCAGCCCAATATCCACTGAACATATAAACTGTTGGAGCACATCAAGAAAACAACCATACAAATCCAAAATAGCAGGATCTCCATAACACAGGAAAATAAGATATCCAAGAGAAGCTCCAGTGAGAGCCCATTATTGGTAGTTTAACAGAAAGCAGAGGCCTCAAACCAGACCAATGACTCATAGCAATGAACATTTACAAGACATGTAAACTGTGTAATTCACCAAGCCACACTTGATTCTTCTAATTTTTTGTTGTTGTTCATTTTGGTTTATTGCTTTTATGTTTGCGTTGGTTCTTTGGTTTTTCTTTTAAATTTTGTTTTGTTTATGGGGGAGGTCACAAGGCAGAGGGTGGATTTGAGGGGACCAAGAGATAAGCCAGTTAAGAATGCATAATGTAAAACCCACAAAGAATTAAATAAAAGTTAAAAAATAAAAGGAGTTTAGTGTCTTAATGTGGTATTGAGACTCTTCTCTACTGCTGACATCCTTTCAACAATACAGGGACCTTGAATTCCTTCCATTATAAAGGTCATCTCATTGGAGGCATATCATTGATAAGGGAATACAATTCTCCAGGTATTGACTAAGTGTTCACATTTACCAGTTAGCATAAATGAACTATGAAAAGGATCTGAAAATACTCCTATACTAGTGGGAAAAAAAGCTACAGTCAACATTTCATTCTCTCTAAAGAGTAATGACCAATTCAGTTACAAGAAGAACATCTCAGCATAGAATGAGGACTTGAAAACAAAACAAAAAAACAGTTGTCTGTCTATTCCATTTACCTATGCAAACTATTATATCTAAATTACTGTTTGTCTTGAAGGAAACACTTCAGGGGATGTTGTCCCTGAGGACTTGGGAGGAGCTAAATATCCCATGTGAGTCCAGCACCATGAAAGCATTAACTGAGAAGCACAGGAGGACTGCTTTCAGTATCCACTTCCACTGTCACAAATGCAACAGCAAAAACAACAACAACAACAACAAAAAAAAAACCAAACAGAAAACCCTTCAGATATTCTTTTTAACTTTCATTCACAGGTGAGCATCTTACAAGTTAACTTTGGTCTTAACTATCAAGAAAGCTACAATGGGGATTTAGAACAGATTGTGCAAGAATGTTGATAGCTGAAAGAGGTAAAATAGGAAGTTGAGGTTAAAGTTAGACACCCAAAATCATACAAATTCCCATTCTAGAAAAAAAACCCAAACCACCCCAGGACCTATAAGCATATGACCTTCTCAGGCTTGTCTCTATATCAGGTGCAGATCATTGCCCAGCTTTTTACCTCATTTGAGTTTTCTCATGCACTTTCATTTTGCATTTTTTCCTGTCTAACTTGCAAGCTATGTTTTTCCAAATTTAGAAGTTCTTAGACATCCTTCTCTTCCTAATACCGTTCAGTTTTCCAGGATGTCAGTGGCTATGGTTTACTGTCTCTTCTCCAGAGAAAGAACCATTTGAGAGACAGCAACTTAAAGAGGGACATAAAAGAGAGAGGGGAGAGACAGATAAAGGAGGTGAGTAATGCTAAAGTTCTACCAGGAGAGAAGAAAAACAGACATCAATGTATCAAAAGTAAAATAAATAAATAAATAAATAAATAAATAAATAAATAAATAAATAAATAAACTTGTCTAATCTTCCCTGTGTCTGGGTGACAACTTGTAAGCTGAAAATAAATTTTGACCACTTGTGGTCTAATGATTCGATGATTTTAAAAGTCCAATTTTAAAATTTCACACACATCCCTTAAAGAATACAGTGAGGATTTTTCTTAGTCTCTGCACTGCTCAGATAAGGAGCCTTTCTACTTAAGCAAAGAAAGAAGTTCATCATCCTTCAGCATCAAGGAAGTAACACCCATAAACTAGCTGCAAGTAAATGATACCATTTGGATCGTTGTATGCTTGCTTGTTTGCCTTTGAAGTTTATGATGGCTTTATATATTTTTTTTCTTCAGATTAATGGAAATATGAACCAAGGAAATCAAACCACCATCTATGAATTCATCCTCCTTGGTCTCTCCAACCAGGTTGAGAAGGAAAAACTCATCTTTGTGCTTTTTCTGAGTATGTACCTGGTCACAGTAGTTGGAAATGGGTTAATAATTTTGGCCATTGGTTTGGATATACATCTTCACACACCCATGTATCTCTTCCTTGCCAACCTATCCTTTGCTGATATTTCTTCCTCTTCCACCTCAGTCCCCAAAATGCTAATGAATATTCAGACCAAGAGTCAATCCATCTCCTATGAGGAATGCATCACACAAATGTACTTTTCTATTGTATTTGTTGTCGTTGATAATTTTCTCTTGGGGGTCATGGCTTATGACCGAT